ATGTGTTCCATTTCATTTTTGACAACTTCCAATTTTCCTAGATTCATACTTCGTACATTCCATGTTCTGATGATTAATGGATGTCTGCAGCTGTTTCTCCTCAATTTGAGTGATGCCACATCTGCAAATGGAGGTCTCAAAAGCTTTATCTTACCCATATGAGTAAGGCTGGGTTTACTTAGATGATGCAACTCTTTCCCAGTCCTATTTTGAGAGTCTTCTAACCTAACTGGTTCATATAGTTCCATGGTAATATATCAAACAGTGTTTCTTTGCTATTCATAAGGTTTTCCCTGTCCAATTCTTTGAGAAGTGGATGGCCTCTTCCTTCTTCCTAGTCTGTCAGTCTGTAAGCTGGGCTGATACCTGTGCACAATGTGCATCATGCTGGGTTTGAAACACCAGTGGCTCAGACTCAAAACTCACATCAACACGACACCACAATAGGACAAACTGACAGGTTTGTCTCCCTGTTGGAAACTTCTCATACCACCTTACCTGGGTCCCTGTGGCTGACTCCTCCTCTGTCCGGCTTCCTGGCCTTTTAATCCCCTTTCTCCCACTTTCCTGCCCTGCTGCTTTGGGCGTGCCTGAGTTCCCTCTCCTCACCTGGATCCCTGCAGCTAACTGCTCCTCTGCCGGGTTCCTGGCTTTTAATCCCCTTTCTCCCACTCTCCTCCCCACCTTCTGCTTTGGGCGTGCCTGGGTTCTCTCTCCTCACCTGGATCCCTGCAGCTGACTGCCATATGACCCAGAAATTCCACTCATATCTGTATGCCCAAAAGACTTGAGAGCAGAGATTCAAACAGAGATTTGTACACCAGTGTTCATTGTAGCACTATTCACATTAGACAAAAGATGGAGACAACCTAAATGCCCATCACTGATAACAAAATGTGGTACATACATGCAATGGAATACTACTCAGCCAGTAGGAGAAATGAAGTCTTAATACATGCTACAATATGGATGGAGTTTGAAGACATTATGCTGAGTTAATCATCAAACAAATAAACCAGAGGGCTGGTGGTTCAAACCCACCAGCCACTCCTCAGAAGGAAGATGGGGCAATCTACTTCCGTAGTGATACTGCCTCGGAAACCCAAGGAGGGGTCGCTATGAGTCAGGTCCAACTCGACGGCACATAACAACAACAACAACATATAAAAAGACAAGAAAAGGAAAATGAATAGAAATTAAAGTGTACTAGTGGTTACCAAGGAGCTCTGGTGGTATAGTGCCTAGGGCATTTGACCAGAAAGCTGGTGGTTCAAACCCACCAGCCACTCCTCAGAAGGAAGATTGGGCAATCTACTTCCGTAGAGATACCACCTCAGAAACCCAAGGAGGTGTTGCTATGAGCCAGATCCAAGTCAGTAGCAGTGAGTTTGGTTTTTGGAGTGGTTACCAGGAGCAGGAGGGAGTGAAGGAAAAGGGTTACAGCTTATGGAAAAATTTCAGTATATAGTGATGGAAAAATCATATCAATAAAGGTCGGGCTACACAGCTAATTATTTTAAGTGCTGTTATAAGTTGTACATCTGTAAAATGTTAAATTGGCAAAAGTTGAGTGATAGATATACTTACAACCACAAATAGAGTAGCTGCTGAGGCTGCTGAAACAATGGGATTTTGTTCCTTGATTTATAGGTTTAGGGTCATGATTTCATAGGAATCCCTATTAATTGGCCTAATATCATGTTTAATGCTTCTGTTCCACCTCCTGATTTGTTGCCTAGTGCCTGGGACCTTAGAGGCTTCCAAGCGTCCATCCAAGGGATAACATTGTCACCTAGAGCAACAGAGGAAGAAGAGAAAGGAATAAGAGGAGGAAATGGAATCTGTACCTAACCACTGTCTCCTTTGTCATGAGACCAGAAAAGATGGATGGTGTCCAGCTACCATCACTAAACATTTTGATCAAAGATTCTATTTTTAAAACCCTGATCAAAAGGGGACAAATACAAAACTGAATTTCAAATTCTCATGGACTCCACACTTTCTGGAGCCATTAAGACTGGATGAACCCCTAAAACTACTGCCATGAGATAATCCTTAAATCTTAAACCAAAAATATCCCCTAAAGTTTTAAGGAACCAAACAATAGTCCAGCTTAACTAGTAAAAAAAAAATGCCTGCCTTGAGCACTGTGCTCTTTTAAGAATTATCTGTATGGGATCAAATTGACAATAGCAACTTGAAAGATTAAACAGGAATCTTAGGGAACAGTGAGTTTATGTCAAAAGAGGAGGAAGAACTCAGTAAAGAAGCTGAGAATGGTTGCATAACTCGAATGTAATCAATGTCACTGAATTTTACATGTAGAAACTGTTGAATTGGTGTATTTTTGCTGTGTATATTCTCAACAACAACAAAATAAATATTTAAAAGAGCTAACACCAGTGGGTAAGGCATTTGGCTGCTAACCAGAAAGTCAGCAGTTCAAACCCATCAGTTGCTCCATGAGAGGAAGATGAGGCAATCTACTTCCATGAAGATTTACCACCTTGGAAACTCAAAAGGGGTTACTATGAGTCGAGTTTAGTTTTTGGTTTAACACTATAAAACTCTTAGAAGAAAACCTGAGTGTAGATATTTATGACCTTGAATTAGGCAATGATTTCCTATATGAAATCAAAATCATAAGCAAATGCAAATCAAAATAACAAGATAACACTTCACACCCACTATTATGGATATACACTCATATACTGCTAACAGAAATGTAAAAATGGTACAGCCACTTTGGAAAATTGTCTGTCAGTTTCTCAATTCCACTCCTAGAAATGAGTAATTAAAACATGTATCCACACAAAAACTTGTACACAAAAGTTCATCACAACTTTACTTATAAATAGCCAAAAAGTGGAAACAATTCAAAGGTCCATCAGCTGATGAGTGGATTTATAAAATGAGGTATATCTGACCATGGAATATTTGGCAAAACAAAGGAATGAAATACTGCTGCCTGTCACGAGGTAGATAAACCTTGAAAACATTATATGCTAAGTGAAAGAGGCCAGTCACAAAAAAACACATATTGTATGACTCCATTTATATGAAATGTCCAGAATAGGCAAATTTATAGAAACAGAACACAACTTAGTGGCTGCCTAGGGCTGTGGGTGAGGAATAGGGAGTGACTGCTAATGGGTACTGCTGGGAGTCTTTTAGGGGTGATCAAAGTGTTCTAAACTTGACTGTGGTGATGGTTGCACAACTCTGTGAAACAGTAAAAGCCATTCAGCTGTACACTTTGAATGGATGAATTGTAAGATATACAAATTAAATCTCAATAATGGCTGTTACATTAAAAAAAGATTACATCACTCTCTAAAGTCAGGTCTTACATATGATAATGGTATTAGTCTCAAAACGAGGGAAATCGTTAAATAATTCTATATACATTGCATAACCCTCTACAATATAAAATGCAAGATAGTCCCATTTCATAAAAATCTTAGTTTCAGAGACAGTAAAATACAGCCATGGTCATATTGTTAACACGTAGCAATGCAAATAGCTATCCCGAAGTTATACTTCTTATTAGTACTTATAAAAAAGTAAAATAAAAACTTCAATTTTTTTTTTAGCACAATATGTTTTTGGGATATCAGACCACAGAAAGCTTTAACTCCTCAGCAAACAGAAAAAAAGAAAGAAGAAAATATTGAAATTCCTTATGATATACCATCTACTTTTTTGCATCTAGATCTCTCCTGGAAACCTCTTGCTAAGGTTAGTAAGGGATTTATTCCATCCTGATTTGCTAATATACCCTATATTATATATATATACATATACATGTATGCACATGTTAAAAGTACAGTATCTCAAATTAACACAGGACTTTACAATCCATGTACTCATGTAATCAATAAGTTCCATGAATGAGAGCTCTTATGGTACCTGCTCAGATCAAGCCAGAAATCACAAGCATCCTAAATTCGAGATTTGATATTTCTTCATGTAGAAGCAAGCCACAACATACAGGTGGTTTGCATGATAATTATTCAATAGTATATCAGTTTCTTGAAAATTGGTAGACCCCCAGGTTAGCCCAGTAAAGCTGATTCTACCCATTATAGACAAAATTCTGCATATTTTACATAGCAATCAAAAAAAAAAAAAAAAAAACCCGCTCACTGGCATCGAGTCAATTTGACACATAGTGACCCTTTGGGTTTCCAACATGGTATCTCTATGAAAGTAGATTGCCCAATCTTCCTTCTGAGGAGTGGTTGGTGGGTTTGAACCTCCAGCCTTCTGGTTAGCAGTCAAATGCCTTAGGCACTATGCCACCAGAGCTCCCAACATAGCAATAGTAGAAAACAGTATTATTGTAATGCCCATGACCAAATAAAGAGCCCTGCTGATGCAGTGGTTAAGTGTTTGGCTGCTAACCAAAAGGTGGTCTGTTCATACCCACCTGTGCTCTGGAGAACAAAGATGTGTGTCTGCTTCCATAAAGATTTACAGCCTTGCAAACCTTAGGGGACAGTTCTCCTCTATCCTATAGGGTTGCTATGAGTCAGAATCAACTTGATAGCAGTGCGTTTGGTTATGGTTTATGACCAAACAAAATTGAAAAGTTTTTGAATGAGAAATTACTTGTACTTATCTTGAAAAACAGAGCTCAAAGAAAAGCAATTTTAATTTGAGAAAGATATGGCTGTGAATGGGATGAGCGTAGAAAGACTGAATGGATTTCTGAGGTTCGTGGCTGTCTTTTTTTAGAATGTCTTTAGGATTTTAATTCCAAATTTAAGACTTTACTTTTCCTTTGACTTATCACTATCAGTAAAATTACATTAATATGCATTTGCTCTCAATGGAAGAATGAACATGGAGGGGTGAAAATGTTCCTGAGGTAATTGGGAAAGAACTGTTGTTGTTGTTGTTATGTGCTGTCAAGGGGAAAGAACTAGAAAGAGAGAATTAGAAATTTTCTGAGGTAAATGTTATTGAGCTTTTAACTAGTTTTAAAAAACAAAATACCCTGATAATAATTGCATAGCATGTGAACAAATATTCTGTAGGAGAATAGGAGGGAGAAAGTGATAAAGAAAAAATGTAAAATGTGACAGGGCATGGTGACAGGGCAGGCCCATGGCTACTTCTGAAGCTTGTGGGCATGTACATTTCTGAGGGGACTCATAGGTGGCTAGATGGATGCATGACCCCTGCACAACCCCCTGCAGTTTCATTTAACTGAAAGATTTATGGAACAGAGAAACAAACTATTGTTTCTATATTAAAACCAACAAGGATATATTGTAGTATAGAATTCAAGACATTTTTTGCAAATAAATAAATAAAACATGAAACTAGGATTTTCCAGATTTGTCCCCCAGACAAACTCCTCTTCAGTGAGAAAGTTTCAGGAACTGTGGTTTAGGCACTTTCCATGGGGAAAAGCAACTAGGAATATGAGAGAGAAAGAAGAAAAGAAAAGGAGGTAGGAAACAGCAATCTGAAGCAGAAGGGAGAGGCAAGGACACATCACACAAGGATATGTTAAGGATACATGGGAGGCCCCTAGCTGCCCTTCAGGTCTGGAATTAAACGCATGCCTGTGGCTTCCAGCCAAACAATAGACAGGCATATGAGTTGAACATTTACCTGAGGTAGATACACTCCTTGGAGAGAACAAGCATGGGAGAAAGAAGGGCTGCTTATGCACAGGGAAACAGCTCAGGGGGCAGGAGTACATGGAGGGATGGACACAGGGAAGAGGTAACTATGGGGAAGAAGTAGGAGGGGAGATGTTGCATTGTGGTAAATTGTGGTCAATGTCGTGAGACAAAGTGTATGTGAACTGCTGTATGGAAAGTGTATTTGCTCTGTAAATTCACCCAAATCACAATAAAAAGAAAAAAAAAAGAACTGCTCCCTAATTAATTCTAAGACATGTATAAAAACATTCTTGAATATTAGGCTTAGTAGTGTTGTATATTATTCTGTCCTTGCTTATAAAAAGTTAAGTGTTTCTTCAAATGAGAATGCAGACCAATCAAGATACCTAAATGTGCAAAAAAAAAAAAAAAAAAAAGATACATGGGAATAATCTTTCTTATATGTTTTTCCAAAAGATAAGGCTGTCTAAGGGTGACACAAGTTTAGACCACTGTCCAACCAAGATAAGCTTGAGTGAAGAACATCTCCTTTACAGAACGCAAGGTAACTGCCTTTGCTGTATTAAAAAGGCGTTTAATAGATTGACTGTTAGTGGCTGATTATGTTTAAGGTGAGTTGCTAATTTGTAAAAAGTATGAGGAAAATAAAAACTTCTGATACGGAGCTTTATAATAGCGGTAGGGGCCTAGGTGGCACAAGTGGTTTGCATGTGGCTGCTAACCTAAAGATTGGTGGTTCAAACCTACCCAACAGCTTCATGAAAGTCCAGGTGAACTGCTTCTATAAAGATTACAAGAAAACCCTATGGAGCAGTTCTAAAAATTACACATGGGGTTGCCAGGAGTCAGGGGCCAACTTGACGGCAGCTAACAATAGCTATAGCCAACGCATTGGAACTACCTATATACACAAAAAGATTTGACAGAATTCAGTTATTCACTTTCACAAACATTTATTGACCACGTGTACTTTTGGAAATTCGTTACTTAAAAAAATATTCTCATGAAGTCCACTTAATGAGTATATTTGTGCTCAATAACTGAATAGAATGGAAGATATCTGAAGTCTAGCAAGTAAGTTGTGAAGAAGTAAGAAACACAAAACATTCTCTGTGAGAATATAAAGGAAGAATTAATATTTATGTTGTTGTTGTTAAGTGCCGTCGAGTCGTTTCCGACTCATAGTGACCCCATGCACAGCAGAACGAAACACTGCCCGATCCTGCGCCAGCCCCACAATCCCTGCTATCCTTGAGCCCATCATCGCAGCCACTGTGTCAATCCATCTCGTTGAAGGCCTCCCTCTATATTTATGTAGCACCATGATAAAACTGAATAAGATAAGGCAGTTGGCTTTTAAATCTATCCCCATTCAACCCATTCACCTTTGTTGAAGTAAGTGAAATGTGCCCATATAAAGTCGCAAAACTATCCAATTAAAAGTGTGTATGAATATTTCACCTTGAGAGCAAAGCACAATGAAAATCTACAAGAATAACTAGCATTTGAAATATTTTCCAAACGTTTGCCTTATTGAAAGGATTCTACTTATAAATTTTTCAATGTTCAATTACATAAAAGGACATCTAACAAAATAAATACTATACTGAATACCCAGATTGAGGAATATTTCACTTTGGAACCCTGTATCTTGTAGATATAACCCAGGACCTCATATTAAAAAAAGAAAAAATGGAATTACTAAATTTTTATAGAGATTTTCAAAGCAGTAAAATGTTAAAAACATTGCATGTAATGCTTTCTTATTTATTTAGGCCTGCTTTGTTCCAAAGGGAATCTCAGGTGTATTTTTTCCCTCCCCCCTAGTTATTATAATTATTGGTTATAACTTACAGAATTTCAGCCATTGGCCAGCCACTGTGCTCACACTGCCCATACTCTTCATGCATTTAACAGATAATGTACTTATTTTCTGCTTACTAAAAAACTCACCGCCATCGAGCCAGATCTTACTCAGAGCAATCCCTCCTCGGGTTTCCGAGGTGATACTGCCTCGGAAACCCAAGGAGGGGTCGCTATGAGTCGGGGCCAACTCGACGGCACATAACAACAACAACAACAATCACTACAGAAATAGATTGCCCAATGTTCCTTCTGAGTAGTGGCTGGTGGGTTTGAACTGCCAGGCTTCTGGTTAACAGTCAAATGCCTTAGGCACTACACCACCAGAGCTCCCATTTTCTCTTAGAGGAAGGCATATTTGGTTAAATCAGTTGTTTTCAGATTCTCACTCAAGGTCCTAGCTGTGTATGTCCCTTATATATGTCCAGAAGTCCATGATACAGGCAATTCCACTGGTTCTGGAGAGATTAAATCTCACTTGGTAATCTGAGGCATCTTGCTAACACATACTCTACTGTCTAAATGCATTTACTGTGGTCGTGCTCTTCCTCCTGTGTAGATGGCCAGGTTTTTGACTTTGAAAATCTAACTATGGTATTTTGGATCTCTCTCAGACCCACTGGCAGCTGTTCACCTAATCTGGCCAGACTTGGACCTGTTGACTAAAATACATTCATATGCATCTTGATCACATTTTGCTTATTGACTGTATATTGGTTTTCCTGCTACTGTGGATCACAAGTCCATGCTATTCTATGCTTGCTGTTACCACCACCACACTCGCTTGAGGCACAGCATCAATGTCTGGTATTCTATTGCCACCTAGTGGCCACAGGTCACTCACCTGTACCCTTCTAATTCACTGTCATGGAGTCAGATGTGACTCATAGCAACCCCCGCCTTGGGTTTCCAAGGAAGTATTACTACAGAAGTAGATTGCCCAATTTTCCTTCCAAGGAGGGGCTGGTGGGTTTGAACTACCAGCCGTCTGGTTAGCAGTCAAATGCTTTAGGTACTATGCCACCAGAGCTCCCCTGTACCCTTCTAGTAGTCTCTCTAAGAAGTTCCATATTTATTCTAATTACAAAGCCTTTGCTCTACTGGTTTGGAATTCCTCCTTTGGAAGTACCTTCAGAGCCTGTTATATTTTTCTAAGCAGTATGACATACTGGTTAAGTGTTTTGATTATGGAGTCAAGTGGTGCCACTAGGAGGATGAGAAGAGTGCAGACTACACTGAGTGGACGGTCAGAGGGGTGACATCAAAATGACTGTCTATGAAATTGTTGTGCAGTGTTTCAGCAGAAATTCAACATTTTGAATAAAAATTTCCCCGTAGTTAGTTATAGCAACAAGAATATTTTTTGTGAGCTCAGCTTACATGTATCAATTCCCCTACAACACTGAAATTCTATGCTAATTTACTTTTAGAACCTTCTAATGGGCTCCCTCAGAGCTATTATTACCCAATTACAATGATGCTTCATGGTTTCAGTCTACCATGCTCCAAGCACATGCTATTGTTTTCATTGCTGACCATATTTTTGTAGTTGTTGAGTTTGTCAAGTCTTCTGGTGTTTTAGCTATAATATTGTGCTAATCAGTATTTGTGAATCTACAACAGTAACTTTTTTGAGAATAAAATAGTAATTAAAGGAAAATGAGAAAAATCAAAAAAGGCTTCTGCTTGGTTCTAAAAAGGTAATTCAATGTAGAAGTATTTTACAACAAATTTTTGTTGTTAGTACTCATACAATCTAAGAAATATTACATTTAAGCAATTTAAGAAATATTACATTTAAGCAATTTACAACTAAACACATTTTATTCTATGATTAAAATTAATAATAAACATTACTAAGGGGATGACAGGAGCTCTAGTAGCATAGTGCCTAAGGTGCTTGACTGCTAATCAGAAGGCTGGCAGTTCAAACCCACCAACCACTCCTTGGAAGGAAAATGGGGCAATCTACTTCTGTAGTGATACTGCCCTGGAAACCCAAGGAGGGGTCGCCATGAGT